ATTTAGTTTCTGTTTCTACTTAGTTTAGTCAATTCAAGTTTAGTCAAGTTGTTTTTAGTTAGTTGTTCTTAGCTAAATTTAGTTTAATTAGTTAGTTTAGTTTATTATTCTTTACAAAGGCAGAATGGTACGTACTGTATCCGATAAAGTAGCAGCTGTATTACTAATTGGTGAATGTGGAAATAATTTCCATGCAGCGGAACATCTTTTTAATGAGATGTACCCCGATCGCCTTATATCGAGATCTTATTTGAGAAAGCTTCTTTGGAAGTTTAAACAAACAGGTAGTATTCAAGATGTCAAACGATCTGGTCGACCAACAATTAGTGATGACAAAAAAATTTACATAATATCAGAAATGGTAGTGAACCCTACTTCTTCTACAGCCCAAGTTGCATCTATCTATGGAATTAGTCAAAAGACAGTAGACCGAGTGTTGGCTGAAAACAAATTTCATCCATACAAATTAAAAATTGTGCACCAACTTTCAGATGATGACCCTGACCGAAGACTAGAATTCTGTGAAAATATGTCCAATAAAATTAACCAACAGTCCAATTACATAAAAACAATTTGTTTAAGTGACGAAAGTACTTTTTCTCTCAATGGAAATGTTAACACACACAATGTGAGGTATTGAAGTGACACAAATCCTTAAGTCTTTGGTGAAACAAATACTCAATTTCCAAAAAAAATAAATGTTTAGGCAGGTATTTTGGGAAACTACACAGTTGGGCCTGTTTTTCTCAATACTAACTTAACCGGTGAAGTGTATCTGGAGATGTTACAAAATGCAATTGAACCATTAAAACTATCTGGAGGATAATCCAGATGAATTCGGCAAATTGGAAATAACGTTTCAACAAGATGGTGCTCCTGCACACCATTATGGTGCAGTAACACGTTACCTAGATGAGGAATATCGTGGTAGATGGATTGGACGACGACGTATGATAGAATGGCCAGCTCGGTCACCGGACCTCACACCATTAGATTTTTTTCTGTGGGGATACTTAAAATCTGAATTTTACGCTACAGCAACTGACAATATTGACATTTTGAAACAACGAATTGTTGAAGAATGTAGGGCAATTTCCACCGGGACATTTGAACGAGTACGGCAAGAGTTTAGAAATAGGATGCATTACTATCAGGAAGTAGATGAAGCACATTTTGAACACTTACTATAAGAACTGGTTGTTAAATATTTATCAACTACATGAGAAGCTACAATTTTAGTATTTATTTAATTTATTCATCAAAATGAGCTTAAACTTAAACAAAAATATTATGACTGAATAGGCATTTTCAATACCTTTCAAACGAGGTATCACTTGCCATAAGGTTAAGGTTGCCATTTAAAATTATTTGTCACAGTGGCGCTGTAACGTCATCTGTCACTATTATGTCACCTGTTATGACTAGTTAAGAAGCCTACGTCTGTTTATTACCTCCCTCAAAATTTCACTATTATAACAATAACCGTTTAAAAGATACGAGGGGGGGAACGGACTTTTGACTAGCACTCTATAGTAAATTATTCAAGTGAATCAGAAGATGATATAGACTTTACATCAGTTGTTGATGAGATTGCAGCACCCAGCAAAAATCCAAACCCATCTTCAAGAGGAAAACATTCCCAAAAAAGTGATTCAACAGACTCATAGGTTTTTGATGATAATTTTGTGCCAAATGTAATGGATTTTGACCGCAACAACTCAAGTATAAATCCTAATTTATCTCTGCATCATACCAGCGCTGAGGTAGATTTTTTCACTATATTTTTTGATGAAAATATTATAACTCTGATCACCGAACAGATAAATGCATATGCACATGTTTTGCAAACCAAAAGGGCAAGTTATTCTAAATGGCAAGATCTCAGACCACAGGAAATGTATTCTTTTTTGGCACTGTGTAGTTTGATGGGTATTGTTGAGAAACCACGCCTGTCAGATTACTGGTCAACAAATTCAATAATTTCTACCCCATTTTTTAATCAAGTTTGTTCTCGGGATAAATTTTTACTGACACTAGGTGCCCTTCATTTTGTAGATAACACCAATTTGGATAAAGATGATTACCTCCGTAAAATCCGTCCTGTGCTAGATAGTGTTAAAAAAATATTTGAAGAAACCTTCTCTCCATTTCAAGATTTGACAATTGACGAAAGCTTGATCTTATTCAAGGGTCGGCTGAGTTTTAAACAATATATCCCTGCTAAACGTAACCGATTTGGTATAAAACTATTTGAAATATGCGATGCCGAAACAGGCTATGTTTTGAATTTCGTCGTCTACAGCGGCTCACAAACAGATCTTCAAAGAACCGACATACTGGGCATCAGTGGTGATGTTGTCAATACCTTGATGCTTCCATACTATAATAAAAAAACATATTTTATATATTGACAATTGCTATACGAGCCCTATTCTTTTGGATTATCTTCTAGAAAAACAAACCAGAGCTTGTGCTACTGTAAGATCTACAAGACGAGGAATGCCACAATTTGGTCCAGTTGAAAAAGGAGAATGGGTTGTAGCATATAACGGCAAAATGCTTTCTTTAAAATGGAATGATAGAAGACTTGTTCACATGCTCACTACGGTATACACAGCTGAACCAAAAGATACTGGAAAAAAGCACTTTCGTACTGGAGAAAAAATTGTAAAGCCTTTATGTGTCGTAGAATATAATAACAAAATGGGGGCTATCGATAAAGCAGACATGCAAATAAGCTTTGTTGAATGTGTTAGAAAATCGCTTAACTGGTACAAAAAGCTTTTCTTCCATCTGATGGTTGTGGCATTGTATAACGCTTATGTACTTTTCCAAGTTGTAACTGGAACGAAACCATTATTTTCGGATTTTCGTTTGAAGGTTGTGACTCAACTCATAGAGAAATTTGGCAGAGTAGAAAAAAAATTACAAAACCACTGACAATCCACTTAGACTTCAAGAACGCCATTTTTTGAGTCAAATTCCACAAACTTCCGCCCAAGGTACTCGGACCCAAAGAAGATGCCATGTATGTAGTAATACGAAGCTGAGAAAACGACAAAGAAAAGATGTCGGTTTATATGCAAAGAATGTGAAGTACCTTTATGTGCCTATCCCTGCTTTGGAGAGTATCACACCAAAAAGACATTTTAGCCAATATGAATATTATATTACATTACTTCTCTACTACACTTCGTTGAAATAAACATTGTTTTACATTTTTGAATAAATGTTTAGTTATTTATTGTATTTCTTTTCTTTTCCTTATTCGGCTAATGACCGCGCCTAATGCCCGGTCTTTTTACATCCGGATAATTAGTTATCGGGAAGTTTAACTGGCAGATTAGTATGTAATACTAACTAGTTATCTGGTATATTATAGTTCTCCAAAGATGCAATTGTTGGAGACAGAAGCTGAACGATGGAGATTAATTTGCGTAATAGTACGGTGCTCGCTCATCAAAGCTGCAAATGAAAATCGTACATTTACGGCAACAGTATCAAAAGGGTTAAGGGATTATATAATTCAAGATAGATTGTATCGACATAATTCAAGTAAAGTATCAGATAAAAAATACTAAAAAACACAATGCTTACCATTTGATAACGAAAATATCTTTTGTAATTAATTTCTCCACCGATTGATTTTATTTCATTATCAACTTGATTAAGTATCTTTAACGTATCTACTGCCAATGGCTTTTTCAATATACTTAAGACGTAAATAACATAAGTTACAATAATGTTTGTTATTAATTCGAAGGTTAATCCAAAGGTAGGAATCCCTGTTACTTTGCTGTTTGTTACAAGTGAGTAGATTCTACCATTGGAAATAGTATCATCTTGAGTTAGTTCGACAAATATGATATGAGATGTCATGATAATTATGTTAAATATTGTTATTAAATGAAAATAGCTTGGCGAATAAATGATGACCACGTTATTTTCAAGTTTTGGAATCATAGGGAAAATTCCACACAACGTGTTTAATATTAGCATGGGCCATAAATTTAAATAAAAGTTGTCCCTAAAAGACGAAACTATTTCTACCATTTTCCTTGTAATCGATACTGATGTAGAAGAGATTCTATGATGAATTAAAGTTAAATTACACGCTTGTGTATTATGTATGTAACAATTTAATTTATGTCATTAAGTACGTTTTAAGAAATTTGTAATGAATTATAAATTGTTTATAATATCGGAAAATTTCTTATAACTTCTAAAGTGTGACTATACACCAATCAGCTTAATTCTAAAAATGTATTTAATAGGTTTTTGTATTATGAAAGACATTAGAAATTATATGCATGTCCAAATCCACTAAAACTCGACAAAACATTTTGATTATGACTAAAGACCGGATCATAAAGATCAGAATTAACACAAAAGTTTGCAAAAATAAATAATTTTTGCTGAAATAAACAATATTTAGAAAAAATATTGGTATAGCCTTTAAACATCGATATGAATCTGACTAAAACACATTAATAATATATTTTTTATTAGGTATATAGTAGTTAGAAAGATGATTTTATACTTAATACCTATTTTATACTTTACAACAATTTTTCATTATTCTTGACAATCATCACATATTTATAGGCTACAAGGCAGCCTATCACTCTGTAAATAAAAGTGAAATGTTTAGAGCGATTAAAGAGTTAGGAATACCAAATTAGTTGGTAAATTTAACAAACCTAACTCTTGAAAAAGTCGAATGTAAAGTAAGACTCCAATAGGAACTGTCTGAACCTTTTAAAACAAATAGCGGGCTGCGCCAGGGAGACTCTTACTCCTGTATGCTGTATAAAAGAATCGACTAAAAAATGGGTTTAATAGTAAACATGTTTATTTATGTGCAAACTTAACGTAATTTTTATGTATAAAACTTTAATCATAATGTGTTTACCCTAGTTCGAATTTTTAGACTATTTCAATTACAATTTTAGACTATTACAATTTAATTATTAGAATATTGATACATATTTATTTTGCAGTTCTATACACATCCCTTTTTAAGAGTGCTGGAAACATATTCCCATCATGTTTTGCAATATGAAGATAAAGATCTCCAAGATCGAACTCGAAACATAATACCCGTGGCAAAATTAGAAGAAAATGCTCAAAAACGACTGAGATTGATACAAACGCATATCAAAAAAAGTAAGTATACGATCATGCTATCACAATTGTGCCAAAGTTGCCAGGGCAATGGTTGTACGCATTGACTTATCTAGTCTTCTTTATTATTACTTTAATTTTGATTAATCTTTGTTCTTTTTTTTTAATACCTATATTTCTCAACATCTCGCTTCTGGACAGGAACATACAGCTCGCGTCTAAAATGTACTACCCGTTCAAATATCTCCAAAAAAATAGCTTAGTGATCCAATAGCTTCCAAATTAGCTATTACTTGCTGTTTTTTGAGATTGGGGCACGTCCTTTATCAGGAATGATTACGTCACTAAAACGTTCAGTTATCCAAAAAATTATTAGTAGAAATTTAATGGCTTAAAAATAGTTACGTACTGTATTTTTTTTTATTTTTAGAGCTCAATAGAGCTTACATTACGAATACAAATTAAATATTATTATAATTAATATTATTCAGATTTAGCCATACGGCTCACACTCCCTCTAAGAGGAAAATTCACTCATCCCAGATACCTACGGTATCAAAAGGATTGAGCTTTGGTGGAACTCTTTCCATGTTATCGAGTCCTAGGTGACTTGGTACGTCGGTGTATCTCCCAAAAATTTTAGCATGCATCTGGACATCGAAAGTAGCACAGCTTTCTGCACGATCTTATATAGATGTTTATTTTGACCCAGCTTTTTTATCTCTCCTTATTTGTATTTCCAGATTTCTCTACTTGGCGATCTTTTCGTTGTACTTAACACGCAGATTATTGTTGTTAGGTATCGCCACATCGATTAGAGTTGTTTATTAACTAGCTAGTTAACTAGTTTATTCATGTCATTCTTAAGCATACTCTCAGAACCATATTGATTATATGGGAGATAGTTTGTTTGTAGAAGTCCCAGTTTAAAAGCTATCTCTTGATGGAGGATCTTCCCCACTGAGTCATGCCGTTCCTTACATTCAGTTGCAGCAAATGCCTGGCAGGTAAGATGTTGGATAGTTTTTTGGGCTTGACATCCATATCGGCATTTGTCGTTTTGGACCTGAGGGTCTTTGACGATATATTTCAGGTAATTTTTGGTTGGTATAACCTGATCCTGAATGGCGAGTAATGAACCTTCTGTTTCATGGAACATCTTTCCTGATGTAAAAAATTTATTTAAAATCCTTTATAAAAGGTATATAATAAAATGCCCAAACGGGCTATCACAAAAATATTACAAAACGTTTTCGGATTGTTAAATCCATCATCAGTGCAAACGAGGTATACATGCTATGAGCCACCAAAATATATAGGTCAAAACCCTTTAAATGATATAAATTTACAGTTGCTTTACATTATATGTGGTTACAAATTATGATGTTTAAGTTACGGTTGGAATTGGTAACATGGCGACGTATGACCCTACACACACAGGTAAAATGGTCCTGAGACGAAGTGTCTTCGAGGACCTGTTGATAACAACTGATCCTAACAACTGATGAGTTCACTTCAGACTTTATATTATTTAAAAGGTTTTGACCCATATATTTTGGTGGATCATAGCATGTATACCTCGTTTGCACTGATGATGGATTTAACAATCCGAAAACGTTTTGTAATATTTTGTGATAGCCCGTTTGGGCATTTTATTATATACCTTTTATAAAGGATTTTAAATAAATTTTTTGTGATATATGGTATACAGCCAGCTACAGGAACTTAGTTTCCTAGTGGAGTCTTGACTTACTTCGTTCGGATGTCGCCCGTGCAGAGGTTTACCCATCCAGATGCGCATTTTTTCGTTCTTAGTAAGATGGTTTATGCGCATTTCTTGTTCGATATTGTTTTCACCAGGTATTTGGAGGTGAATTTTAGTCTTCCAATCTGTCATTATATGTCTTAAGAAGGTCACTATATTATCATCGACTTTATATATTCTTAATATATCTACCAGCCATTCATGCGGCACTGAGCCAAAGGCTTTCTTGTAGTCATTAAAGGAAGTGAAGAGATTCCTTTTTTGGTGTATGCCTGGTTAGAAATGAGTGAGTCGATAATAAGTTGTTGTTTGCAACCCATGGAACTCTTAGCGCATCCTTTCTGTTGAGGTTCTATGATATTGTTTAGAGCGCAGTGTTGGTAGATATATCGCAAGATGTGACCAATTTATACAGAGTTGGAAGACACGTAATTGGGCGGTACTTGGCTGGATCTTGGGAATTATTTTGATCCTTCGGTATTAAATAAGTTGTTCCCTGGGTTAGAAATGATGGCATTTCCTGCGGATTAGAATTAACACGATTAATTAGTCTTGACAAGCACTCATGAGCACTCCACAACTTCTTAAGCCAGAAGTTTTGAACTCCTTCTGGTCCAGGAGATTTCCAGTTATGAACCTCTTTGATGATATTAGAGACTTCTTCTGTGGTGAAGGGTTCATAGACAGTTGAGCGATAGTGTTGACAGTTGTGCGTCGTATCTTCTATCCATCCAGCATTAGTGTTAACAGCAGCTGGTGTGGAAAGTTGATTTCCCCGAAACTCCTGTATTTCTTCTTGGTTTAGGTATGATTTATTGGTACTTTCGACAGTGGAATTAAGTTTCCGATAGAACGCCTTTCCGGCATGCTCAAAAAGTGCATTGTCACATTTTCGGCTGTTTCTAACTGTGCACCTCCTTAGTCGTCCTGAATAAACGGAGAGTTTTTGTTTTAATGTATCCAGGCACTGACGGGCTGTGATGTTTACTGGATCATATTGCGAGTGTCTTGCAGTGCTTAGCATTATTTGATCAGCTCTTTTAATGACGTCTCTACTTGTTGTTCATCGTATATATTCTGTCATTTGACTAATGTCCCTACGCAATAATTCAATCTTGTTTAGAAGCCGTTTCTCCCAGGGTGCGACTCTGTTGTCAGTCCTTTCGGCATTGGTACCCCGTCGTGTTCTGATCTTAATTCCCATTACATTAGTTGTTGCTGTTGCTGGACAGTAAATAAGCATATGCAAATATTCCAGCGTATTATTATTATAATTATTATTATTTTTAATTACTATTATATTATCAACTAGCCTATATTTGTCCACTGTTTAACGTAGACCTCCCGTAAATTTTTCCACCTATTCATATCTTGAGCTTCTTGCATCCAATTTGTTGTTGTTAGTTCTTTTTGAAAAATGTACTTGTGACATAGAGCCGATAGTGCAACAAAAAAATAGTAACATACCTCCTCTATGGTTTTGCTCACAGTATCCAAATGAGCCTATAACCACTCCTGCGTGATCTTCTTTTAATTGTCATATAAATAGATTATATATTTCATTTCATTGTATAGTCTCTGCATAGTTTCCTACCCCACCTCGATCCACTTGCTTTTATCAACTGCCTTTTCTTTCCAGTCTCAGACACCATTGTTCTTTTTTTGTATATCGTCTTAAGCACTATTTAGTCACCTGACTTTTCGTCTCTTTGGTATTGGTTTTCGGGAACATGTATCTCCATATATTGTATTTATAATTTTTGTCTCTCATCCCTTCAAAAGATCGCGCACTGAATAGATTTTTAATATTTGCTATTTTACCAATTATAGGTTTTTGTTCTTTGTATTTTTTGTAATTATTTTCTCTATTTACTAGTATAATTTATTACTTTACTTGATTTGTTATTTATTTATATTTATTATGAAATTTAAGTAGTTTTTCACTTTGTCTTAAAATGTTTTAGATAAACTGATAGACCCAGACTTGTCCGTACAAGACATGCTTATTTTGGAATTGTTGCAATGGTTTAAACAAGAGTTTTTTGAATGGGTCGATAGTCCAGCATGTGAGCATTGTGGTGGAGCTACTGCGTTTTCACATATGAGTACGGATCGTGAGTTATTACAATATACAGATCGTGTTGAGGTAATTATATAGCCTAGTTTTTTGTCATATTATAGGATATTTGTTATTGGCTGTTCCATTTTAAATCAAAGAAAAATGATTGGTCACGATGATTATTATAGAGATCAGATTATAGTGAGATAATATTTGATATTTGAAGTATAACATAGTAAAAGTAAATTATACCCTAGACTATAATTTTATTTAAAAATTCCTTTATAAAAGGTATAATATTAAAAACCCTATCGGAGGTATTTGTCTAAATGTGACAGTAGCCAGCAATATATAGAATTAAATATGTTAAACTTTGATTAATAGTAACAGTGGCAACCATCAATATTGTGGAACTCCCTTAGAAATGATTATATTTTGATCCACCATTTGTTCATACTTGATTTTGACTGTTTCATTCCAATACAGATTTTTAATAATCCTAATGTCCTTAGTCTCAAGTCCGGAAATATGTACTAGTTCTATAAGTTTGTTATGTTTGAGAGTGTCGAACGCTTTCTGATACTCGATAAAGCAGGCGTAAACATCTTTTTGTTGATCTATGCATTTTTGAACAAAGACTTGCATTGAAAAGAGCTCTCGTTTTCCAAAACCACACCTGAAGCTGAACTGTGTTTTACCTACATATATTTTGTGTAATTTTGTTTGTATTCCGGAATAGATACAAGAACAGTATACGGATGTAACTTATTAAACTTGGCGATAATTACTGAACCTGTTAGAACTTGCTTTCTTGAGAAGTATCACAAACGTAGACTTTAGTCAGTCCGATGGTATTCAATCGGTATCATATATTTTATTGAATGGTTCTACATACATTCAGGTTGTTCCTGTTGAAAACTCAAAAATTCAAGTGGCATTTCATGACATTCTGTTGCATGGACGTATAAATAAAGAAGGACCGGGCTATTTACATCTTTACATGAAGCCATGAGATAGTCACAGTCATAGACACAAATCCCTAATTTGACGTTGTCATATTATTTTTTTTCCAAGTCAATGTTCAAAACAATTTTCGATTTTTAGTATAATTTATTTTTAATTTATAAAGAAAAATGTATTAGAATTACATTAGATTAGAAAAATGTAAAGGACTTATGTCCTTTTTGTTGAAATCAACATTTTATCACGAAGTCAGTTCAGCTCTTTATCTAATAAATGTAACAGTGATGGTATGTTTTCTGTACTTCATGAGGTCTATCAAGCACTAAACAATAATCTTTACACTGCCACTGTTTTTTGTGACTATGTTAAATATTTTGATTGTGTAATTCACGACATTTTGATAAAAAACTAAATTTCTACGAAATTCGAGGTATTTCTTTTAATTGGTTCCAATCTTACTTGAGAAATAGGAAACAAACAGTTAGAGCAAATTATACTGACTCTAGTCACAAAAGCATTGTATGTAGAGTACCACAATGTTCGGTACTGGGTCCTCTACTTTTTCTTTTCTTTAACTCTTCATGGAATTATAACTTCTGATCAACTTAAAATAAAACCTGGTCCGACTATAATTTACTCCCTTTTAACATGAATAAGACAGTAGCATTATCCTATAAAGGAGCTCTTCAACCCTTGCTTCTTAATAACAGCCAGATCAGTATCGTTGTTTCTTTAAAATATCATGGTATTTTTACATACAACAACCTTAAATGGTTCCTTTATATCGATTTCTTAAGTAAGAAACTAGTCTCAGCCAGCTATGCAATAAGATTTGTTTCGAAGCAGAATTCAGCATCTTCCAAAATAACATATTTTTCTTTGTTCGAATCTCATCTTAGATATGGCCTTCCTTTTTGCGGTTCTAGTAACGCTACCCAATATAATGTTATTTGTAAATTACAAAAAAGAGCAATCTGGTATCTTGTTGGCCTCAGTAGAATAACACATTGTAGAAGATACTTCAAAAATCACGGAATTTTAACTCTTCCCTCTTTGTATACTCTAGAAAATGTTTTCTTAATTTGTAAACATCTACATGTTTTCAAAGCAAGACCCAATCATGAATATTCCACCAGAAATTCAACCTTTGATATGTATTTATTGATTCCGTCCACTGAGTTAGTAAAGAACTTTATATTATATTCGGCAAAAGGATTATACAATTAACTCCCTTTGCAACTTAAATCTGCAAGTTCTGTAAATTGACAAAAGCCTATCTATCTGAAAGACCATATTATTCAGTGGAAGAGTTTACTAACGAGAAACTAAGAAATTACAGTACGTTTAGGTACAAGCAACTAAAGGATTATATATTTGGGTATCACATGCATCAACTAAAACTTTAAAATTTAGTTAGATTTTACTATCTTTTAAATGAATCTTGAATTGTATATTTTACTATCTTTTATTATGTGATATTGACAATTTTTGTAATTTTAGTAATTTTTAATTGTTATTGTTATTTTCTTTTTTCTTTTTATAAGCTTTGTCCATAAAATTGTACAATTTTCAGTGACAATAAAGCATATTTCTATTTTAGAACCCTACCCGTTCCATAAGGTTTAATGTGTTTATATATTGTTGTATATGTGGTTTGTTGTTCATGTTTTGTTAAACAATAGTTTATGTTTTCTTACGTATATTAATATTTTCTTAAATACATATTCCTGAACTTTTATCTTTCTTCTGTCTACTGCTATGTCTAACATAACATACTAATGTTGCCAACTAACAATTAATCTGAAGTTTTACACCATAATTCACTATATTTTTTCAACGTATCACTCACTGAATAAGAGAAGAACATACTCAATACCCTGAACAGATTAATGTTTGGGTAATAATTTTTTAAACTTTTTATTGCTTGTGTATTATTTTAGTTTAATAAAAATATTATATTATATAAACTACTTTGCGATTTTATTTACCCCATCTTTATTCTTTTGTGTAAATCAATTTTTACAAACATATTTATATCTATACACTGAAAATTAAAATTATTCATCGTTCGTTGTTTCTCACTTATGCGAAATATTTTGTATGTTTACGATACTAAAAATAAATTAATCAAACCAATAGTCATTATTTATTCAAATGAAAAAACTTTTTCAAATACCTTTCAATTATTGGAAGGTACGCCGCTGAATAAAAGGGAAATATCACAGTCTATTACCTCGCCTCTTTCCCCGCGCCTATAAACTTTTCGACTTCAAATTTAGGCGAACAGAGTGCAGGGCATGCCCAGTCCATTTTTATTTATACGTCCATGTTCTGTTGCTTTTCCATGTTTCATTTGCTCTATAGTTTTATTACCTTAATTTCTAATATCTTTGGTCCATTTTTTTGGCCCCTAAAAAAATTTTTAATGCAAGTTTCCCATGTCTGTAACTGTTCTTTTTGTAATCAATAAGTTTGTTGTTCTCGTCTACTAATCTTCCAAGCTATCAAGTTTGGAAGCTTCAATTCGTGTAAGTGTAAGTAAATTCTTTGATTTTTTTTATGTATGTATGTTAAAGCTTCATGTCTTCGTTCTAGCTCTAGCATCTTCTGACATTTTAGTCGTAACCATTTGTCCTTCTTCTATCTTTTTGCTGAAAGTAGTATCTAGTTATTTATATCGTTCGAGATTATTCTTATTTTCCCTTCTTCATCTTCCCAGTACCTAATCACTTCTTTCGCGCCTTTTCATATAGCGTCCCTTAAGTTTATTCAGTCTCTTTCAGAACCATTGGTAATGGCTGTTAAGGCAACATTAGTATTAATGGCTTTTTGTGGGGATTTTTAGCTTAACTTTTATGTGGCGATTTCTTAGTAGATTCATATCTTGTATTTTGTTATCCTCTTTCTGGGTTAGATTTTTGTCTGACTTTTAATTGGGCTAGAATTGGAGTATAATCAGAATTTATATCAGCTTTGAGGAAAGACCTATAGACGGCCTAAGTAGGACTAAAATAAAAAATATGAAAATAATATGAACAGCAAAAGGACAAAGATCGAAGAAAATGTGTAGAAAAAACAAAAAGTTACAACTAGAAAGGCTAAAAAAACATTGAAGAGGATTTCTACCAATAAATAGACTCAGCACTGCCGAGTATAAAATTAGGGTCACTCCATAATTTGAATTTATTAAACCGAACGGTCACGGCTATTTCCCTTCGAAATCATATGGAAGATATGAGAAATGTAAATGTAAGTGAATGAACAGTTGGACGTGACTTCATGTAGGATTATTTATTAGGCGGAATAGATCAGAAATTAGACAGGAAGCTCAGGCATTTTAAAAATGTAATAAACACAGGAGAATAAGATAAAAAAATGAATTAAATACAATCACCACACACAGAAGAAATATCAATTTTGAATTTCAATAAAGACTAATCAAGAAATACTGTTATTTCCTCATTGTAGAAATAGAGTATAGCCCAAAATAAACAGTACTGAACTTGTAATTATTTTATTGTTTTAAAAAATACATATGATTGACAACATAGACCTCCGATATTCCAGATTTCTACTTTCTACCTTCTTACCTTCTAATAAAGGTTGTTTTAAGTCCACAAAGAAGGCTCTAACGGCATCCTTTAACTCATTGATGGTTTGTGGTGCCCGTTTAAAAACGGCAGTTTTAGCCATGCCCCAAATGTATGCGTCTGGAGATGTTAAGTCTAGAGAAAGTGCAGGATAGGGGAAGTTAGTAATGAATTTGTTTAAAAAATGTCCCTGAAAAAATTGACAAATTGCGACAACAGTAAGGCAAGTTGCCCCATCCTGCTGGAAAAATTGGTCTCGAAATGCCAAATTACGTGCACGACAAAATTGACGTAGATCAGGGATAAAGCGGGTTAAAATTTGTATGTACCTCTGTTGATTAAGTGGACTTGCTTACCATTTTCTTCGATAAAGTATGGACCCATGATTCCGCGTTCCGAAACTGCACACCAGACACTCACTTTTGCGATATGTAAAGGAACTTCTTGAATTTCATCTGGTCTGACAAAGCCCAGAAATCTATTTGTGCGACGATTTACACGGCCTGACAAATAAAAGTATGCTTAATCTGAAAACCATACATGTTTCAAAAATTCAAGATTCGCTCAAAAACACGTTCATGGTTATCGTTGTTGTTAACTGTCCTGGGACGCTCTGAGTTTCCTTTTCGTTGGCACAATACATTACCCGTATTTCTAAACTTTTCAACAATCTTCAAAATTACAGCATTACTTGGAGAACGTTTATTAAACCGTTGTGTGAATTTATGATCATACATATATTGTTGGTCATACAAGGGAAAGTGGAAGGCAAAAGAGGACCGGGGAGAAGACGCACGTCCTGGTTGAAGAATCTAAAACAATGGAGTGGAAAAACGTCAATAGAACTTTTCAAAACGGCTGTAGATAGAGTCAAATGGGCCATGATGATCGCCAATGTCCTTAGGGATGGCCATGGCACACGTTAAGAAGAAGTAAATTTATCACACACGTATTGCAGACTTGCACCATTATGTCGGTCGATTCCGTATGAGCGAAAATAATGCTCCACAAGAAACACTTTCTTCTCTGTACTTAACATAATTTTTAACAAGTAGGCCTTAATAATTAGTTGTTTAAGGATTACTTGACTATGTCTATACTAGTTAATATAAATGTGACAGCGCACACAAAGAGACATTTGTGTTTCAGTTTCAGTGCTGTTTATTTTGGGCAATACTCTATTTACAAAATATTTTGACAACAATGTTTATGAAATAGGAAGCCATTGAATACTTTAAACACCTAATACTTGCAAGTGATTACCTTGTATTTTAAAATTTGAAAATATCCTGGAAACTTAGCAACTTGGTTTTATCTTTTGTTCATTTTAGTTGCATAGGTGTAAGAGTTGCCAGAAATTTACACCATTTGCTCGGTATAATGATCCCAATATTTTACTTGAAACGCGACGTGGACGTTGTGGAGAATGGGCCAACACTTTTACTTTATGTTGCCGTGCTATGGGATGGGATGCAAGATACGTTGTAGAAGAAGGAGATCACGTATGGACAGAGGTTAGTAATAGTAGTTTCAAATAGAATATGAGTAGATATTCTTTCAATTCACATATCATGTTTGAATATTGTCTTATGTGTGAGTAGTTATATTCAGGTCGGGAGACTGTCCTGGCCTAGAAAGATGTTGCTTGATAAGTTACATTAAAATATTTTTTTTGTATTTTATTTGTCTAATTTTTGTCTGTATTTATTTTAGGTTTATTCTATTACTCAAAAACGTTGGCTACACTGTGATCCTTGCGAAAATATCTGTGATACACCTTTAATTTATGAATCCGGCTGGAAGAAGAACATTTCTTACGTAATGGCTTATTCCGCAGAAAATGTTCAAGATGTTACTTGGCGGTATTCCAGTAATCATAAGGAAGTGTGTAAAAGACGGAAAAAATGTACGGAAGAACAACTTTTATCGGCTATTTTAAAAATCAGGGAGAAATTACAAAAGAATTTACCACAATCTAGAAAAAGTTATTTAGTCAAGAGAACTGTATTGGAATTAGTTGAATTCTTACATGAAAAGTAAGTTTTTGTTTGTTTACAATTTCCATAGTATACAGAATAATTGAGTAATTCAGTACTGAAAGGTATGATCACTTCTCTCATTTCTATTAGCTTAGGGTACTAAGGATATTAAACGGGGCTTGTATATTAAGATCATGTAATTGTTGAATAGGGTGATCTGTTTCATCCTTATATTTTTAGCATTCGAAAAAAATATGATCTAAATCACCGTTTTTGCCACAATTTTGACAATGATCATTTTCGAGAATGTGAATTTGATGAAGATGTGTGGGATAACAGGCGTGGCGAAATCTAAAACGTGTTACAGTTGTGATCTATTTTCTTAAATAATTATTTGGCTGGAACCAAGTTCTATTCGGTATTTAATTTTGTATACTGTTGTATCTAGAAGGGTTGGTATTTTGAAGTATTTTGTGACTTTTTGCCAGCATATACAAATACTCGTTATGTTCGAGACTGATATGTGCTTTAACCCATACAAAATTAATGTCCTTGCTAACTTTTTGCAGTTTTAAAATCCGTTTTTTAATTACATATGATATAATTGGAGGAGAAACTTGGATACTGGATGGGCTTTTTCAATTCTGTCTTTTCTAATTGTGGCGATACAGTGTATCTTTTCATCTCTCAACCGTGTTAGTAAAGGTAAAGATGTAAAAAAAATATCAATATAGATAGCAGATTCTTGTGGTAAAAACCCTATACACAGCTTTTCGGTTACGGAACTTCCTAATAAGTTGCCCTGTAATTTATCTCCACTTCCAGTATAGGGAAGAAATTTTGCAAGGTAACCTTTACTGGTCGCAACACACCAGAATTTATATCCGTAACGGATGGGTTTTCTTCGGATAAACTGCTTCATTGAATGATGCCCATAATACGGCTCCATCGCTTCGTCCACTGAGAAACTTCCGTTCACTGACTGGAGGTAATGATGAAAACGTTCATTTAGATGGTCAATTAGGGGTTGAACTTTGAATGCTTTATTGGTTTGTTGATACAACGTATTATCGTTAAAGTGTAGAAATCTATGAATCGGTTCAAATCTATTTCGACTCATAATATTACTTACGAGATGTGAGTGAGAGTCCCCTCGACATTCCCAATACATTATTCTAGAAGGCAGTGGATGAATAGGGCCAGAGAGAATAGGGATGCCGAATTATTTATATAAATCATCAACGGACAAAGAGAAAGGGCAGGATTTTTGTGAAGCATACTTTACCGTTTCGTTGCAAAGATAGCCCATAAATTTTTTATCAAAGAATAATTTAAACACATCGATTAACTTCAAATTTTGTTGTCTCCATTCATTTAGTATATGGGGTTCTATATTGTTTTTGAAAACAGCATTTGTGGCTCCTTTCTCTAGTTATTTTTCTTACGATCGATTCTTTTCATAGTTTTTTTTCTGTTTTCAGAAGTTTGTGAAATTTCTGCAACCTCCCTTTTTCTTTTCTTACCTGATTCGTGAGTTTTAGCCACAGTTGTATTTGACATCACTGTTTTCTCAATTGCTGTATTTTTTTCGATAAACAGCTGTAATATCCATGCTTTGAGACAGTGTACCTCGGCCAATACTTTGAAAAGTGTAATTGAACTGGTCTTCCTCATCACTTCCGGCATCGTCTCTGTCAGAATCATTTCCATCATTTTGGATAATACAACGTCAGTTGAACTTCATCACACTGGTCAATTTCCTTAACCAAAGTATCGTCATCTTCTAAACTCTCATATATTTTCAACAATTCCTCTGCATCCTTGGGATTATTAGGATCATATTTTTTCGTCATTTTTTTCTAAAACAGAAACAATATTGATTAGTTACCATAAGTGCCCAGCGTATTATATATCATACGCAAGAATCAAAGATCTTCAAAATACTCATCAGTATAAATTTCAATATTATTTATATCACTATTCGATATTTAGAAGCCTTTCTAGTTGAACAGTACAAAAGATTTTTCAAAATAAGCCAAGAAAGTCATACAAACTGCTAAAATGAAAACGGTGTACTATAATATAACCTAAGAAAACTTGGCGCAAAACGAATCACTCTTCACCGCCAAGCGGTTATAAATTTCTCATTTTATGATAAACAGTTACCTTTTATCATCTACTCTGTAACCTATATTGGAAAAACAGCTGATTTATAATTTTTTTCCTGACTAGTAGATGGCGAAATATGTAGCAGTGTCTCCCGTATTACATAAAATACGGTGGGAATTAATGGGTTAATGTTAATGTGAAAATTATTGCTATATGAAGGTTTTACAATCTGTATATTTAGAAACAATGAATTGTAATTATAAAGATCTGACAAAGTTGAGCTGGGATAACATAAATCACTGCGGATATCTTGATTTGAAATTGAAGTCTGATACACACTAGTGAAGAATTTTTCGTCGTCCAATATTTATTTGTAAGATCTGGTTCATTTAATACTACTATATTTGAATATAGATTACTGTTGGTTCTGGATATTTTGAGAATAAATTTGTCTATAAGGAACTGCCTTCTGTGACTTAAATGAGGCTCAATAGCCTCTGCATGCAGAGGTTTGATTGGAGTTGTTTTTATTTGCACCAAGACATACACGTAGGACTGAGTTCTGCAACATATCTGTTTTGTTTAAAATATGTGAACTAGCAAATCCATACATTTATCCATGTCAATTTGCTATCAAGTACCATGCCAAGATATTTACACGGATATTTAAAGACACGGAGTCTTTAAGAGAAAAATTATAAGAACCTAGGACAATGTCACTTAATTTAGGTATGTTGTATCTACTGAAAACACAAACTTCAGACTTGGGATAGGAAATATGAAAACCATTTAATGTTAAACATTCATGAACAGCAACAGATATGTCGTTTAAGAGAAGCCATAGTGGTATTACATTTATTATTTTCAGTATATATGCAGAGCTGATCTGTTTCCATGAAACTAGGTTCCATTCTGAACTTAACCATCTATTCACTGCAACCTTCAAAATGATATATGGAATAAGACACAAGCAAGCAATCAAAATAAGTAAACCCAGTCCTACAAAAACCCAGGTGTGTGCTTACCTTAGAAATAAGCATGCCCGAAGGACACTGGAGGTGGAATGGCGTGGTCAGATGTTGGAACACAATGAGACGCCAAAATACTTCGGCGTACGTCTGGATATTCTGGATCATAGTGCATTCTGGTTTACTTTTAAGAAAGTTAATTATTTTTTTAAAAAAATCCACAAGGAAAAATTCCTGTAGCTGGCTGTATACCACGTATCACAAAAAAGAGGTTAGTCTTCGTAAATGGGTATATTTATTTAAAAAAACCCTTAAAAGGGCTACATCAATAGAACAAACGTTTTCAGACCACACAGTCCATCATCAGGTTTTAAAATCGAAAAAATGCTAGGTCACAATGCCTGAGCCACCAAAATACTAGGGTAAAAACCCTTTAAATTACATTTAGTTATAAAAGATTGTACATTGTGTTGTAAAATAACTGTGATGTTCAGTATTAAATTAAATTTGGCTAGAGGTAACACATGGTTGAAGCGAGTTCCAGAGCCGGTGAGAGAACCTCTACACGCGGAGAACAGCTGGGAACAGCACCCCAGCTGTTCTTTGTTATTGATGTAGCCCTTTTAAGGGTTTTTTTAAATAAATATACCCATTTACGAAGACTAACCTCCATCTACCTCCACTAAGCCATTTACAATTGTATTTAACTTTTACACCACGTATACAGAGAAAGTCCTCTAAATTTACATATTTTCATCTTACTACACTAGTACTCTTTTATTTTGTTCCATTTTAACGATCGAGAATAATGTTTAAAACATTTTTAACAATTCAAGATGATTACAACAAAGACAAAACAAAATTCAATTTTCATTGGCGTACCAACGCCAATCTTCAGTCTTCAACATCTCTTCCACGGCACATGCGTCTTCCGCTACATCATAGCCCCACCTAGAGCGACTTTAGCGCCGTCGTCATTACGTACAGCTGGAATCGTCAAAACAAGCACGCCATGTATTTAGAATGAAAGAAAACAGGCTTCCAAAAATCTGTTAAATGCAAAAATGCAGGAGAAGAGACCCATCGTGGAGGACAATCACTACAGACCTTAACGACTGGAGAAATTTTTTGAGGGAAACCAGACTCGAATTTGGCTCTAGCGCCATTGGATGGTTGGACATAACATCCTAGTAGAATTTAATGATACGACTTGGTATGATACAAAGTTTTCATGACCAAGTTTCAGAGTGTAGTGAGTAGAATAATAAGAAGAAGATTAAAACCAAAGTAAGCACATTATTTATTATGTAAATAATAATAATAAAAGTAACCAAATGTACAGGCCCCTTTTTGCAGAATCACTACTCAGATAAAGAGAATTGATTAGGTATGGTTATAGAACACTGATTAGGAAAAAAATAAGTGTAAACAAAGTCAGGAGGAATGGTGAAATTGAGTGCCCTATACAACTGGGAGATTGGATTTATAATATATGCAGTTACATTGAATAAAATATTCAGTTACAAAAATATATCTAAAGCAAAAATATATAGTTATAATATTCAAAATCCATGTAAGACGAATGGATGAGAATAGACTCCCAAAAATTGCCCTAGAAAACAATCCGCCTGGTTCAAGACCCCCCGGAAGACCACCTAAAAGATGGAGGGATAGTTGGCAATCTACCTCCCAAGAAATTAACCAGAGGCAGCTTCAGAATTAAACAGATCGAAAGATCTACAAAAAGTAGAAGAAGAAGAAGAATATTCAAAATAATTTTAAAACATACCTATATAAGTGTTTAATATTATATAGAAAATATCGGCGAGAATACAAACGATGAATAGAAAAGGAAAGTAAATAAAGTAGTAGATTATGTAATTAGTCCAAAATTAGATTAGTAAAGGAAATTAAATAAAGTAGTATATTAAGCTACGACAACTACAGCTACAACTACAACTTCCTACGACTTATAATGGAAGGGAAGGTGGAAGGAAGAAGAGGTCCAGGAAGAAGAAAATGCTCCTGGTTGAAGAACATAAGAGACTGGACAGGCATGGACACACATGCGATACTAAGAACAGCTCAAGATAGAGAGCAATTTGCTGTAGTTATAGCCAACCTTCAGTAATGGAGAAGGCACCTTAAGAAGAAGTATATTAAGTAATTAGTCATGAACTGATTTTACAATTGTAAAGATAAAAAAAATTATAAGTGTACTACAAGTGTACGATATATTGGTATGTGTTTTCAAAATAGTAATAAAATAAACTGAGAGTATTTTAATTGTAACATCGATATTAAGACGCAATATAATCTAATTACCATTTTTAGGAAACCAAAAGATGATGAATTACAAGGTAGATCTTCTGGATCAGAAATTTGGCGTTTGGCAAGAGGAGAAATTCAAGAAACTGCTTCGTCGGAGTATATCTGGCAAATAAACTCAGAAGATATTATCGACGACACAGTAACTATTAGATACTCACCGTCCATAAATAGATATGAATATATTTCAGGAAGTAAGTTATTGAACTCGCTGAACGATTGGAGTTCTGGAACATTTAAACACGAAAGTGTGTTTAGGAAAGAAGAAAAAGATTGGAAAATGGTGTACATAGCTAGAATAGGTAAGTGTTTGGAATGCATGATACGTTTGTAGCAAATTAACAAAAAAACCGATGCCAATAATTCTCTATATGTTTATCTTTATGTGGAGTTGTCTTACCTAATTAGATTTACCCATAAGTTGTTGTCTTAGATCCTACCAATATCAATCCCTTTTCCCGACATGTCCGGCCTAAGCGTTTCCCAGGTCTTTTTTGGTTTTCCTCTTCTACTCCTTCCAAGAACTGGGAAAATTAACGATTCTTTGTATTGGGTAAGTAGCGTCTCGGCTGTGAACATGACCGAATCATCGTAACTTATGCTCTTTTATTTGGAAATCAATTGGTGCCACCCCTAGACTTCCACTAATATGCGCATTCTTAATTTTATCCATTTTATCACTCCACTTATCCATATAATCATTCTCGTTTACACCGCATGCATTCGTTGTTTCTCTTTCTTTTTAATTGCCCGATACTGTTTCGTATGTTATAGCTAGTGGCACTAGTAGCCTTGTGGCACTTTCATAGAAGTTGTCTTTCCCTTTGAAATCTTTCTGTCACACAACACAATACTCGCCTACTTCCATATTTTGCCATTACTCTGTCTTTAAATGAATAAAAATTAAAACTTTTTCGTAAAGGTCTTGTCTCCAGTGCTCCAGTTTTTGTTCTAAATCCCTTTCAGCGTTTTATACTAACACTACATCCCTGTTACTCTGTAGTTTCCCTGTTATCCCTGTTATCTATAACACTACTGAGAATAAATTAGGACTAAGCATTGACCACTGATCCAATCCTGCTCTTACGTTAGCCCTTGCGACGCCCCTGAGTGGGCATACTGGTTCTCCCCAGAATATCTCAGTAAACTCTATGTTCTTTCTCAAGATCAATGAATATCATGAGCGATTGTTTCGGTATTCCTGTATTTTTACGTTAGCTGCCTTCTAATCTGCTTGCATAAATCCAAACTCATTTTCAGATAGTTCGGTTTCTTCGCGTCTTCAACATGTCTCTCAATTACTCTCTCTCATATTTTCATGATGTGACTAAAGAGAGTTATGGCTCTTTAGTTTGTGCATTGATTTAAATTGTCTTTGTTTTTGTAAACAGGTACTAATATACTACTTCTCCGTTCGTCTGGTATTTCATATAAATCTTTTAAAAACGAGTCGTACATGCACGCTACTAGGCATGTGAATTAATTCAATCATTCTGTGTTGAATATTTTGTATGCAGTTGCTTAGGTGCTGAAATAAAAAACATAAGGCTAAATGTGCCTTGACTATGATTTCACAATTCGGAAAAAATCCTGAAATGTACTATATAAAATAAACGGGTAAATTAAAGATTTTTACAATGAGTCAAATAAGTTATTGCATATCGCAGATATGCTTAAGATAAAAAACATATCGAACATAATATAGTATATAATAAGTAGATATAAAACTAAACAGATTTGAATACATCAGGAATTTAAAGAATTTAGGTAGTTAAATTGTTTTTAACTGGGAAAGGGAATGTATTAATTTAATAAAGGATTGCGTATCGACTGATTGATCTAAGAGATCCTTGTAGCATTTCTATATACAAAAAAGGGGATGTGACCGAGGGGAGTAAGCCTAGCTTTCTTTTCGTCTATGAACGGAGCAATAGTTATTAATTTAATTTATTTTATTTTATTCTATTTTATTTCATTTTATTTGATTTCATTTTATTTTATTTTGGGTTATATTATTTCATTTCATTTCATTTTATTTATTTTGTTTATTTTATTAAGACCCGTCTTTCGACATCTTAACGACTTTCTGTCGTTATAAGTAAAGCTATGCTTCGAATCATTGATGTTAAGATGCATTAAGAGAAGCTTATAGGAATGCCAAGTAAAATCACATTTCTAAATGATGGTAGAGTAGCTTTGTCGATAGAGTAAATTTTTAGGCCGTTTGAGATAAGATTTTTTTTCTTTTTAGTTTTTGATTGATTTGAATTTATGATTAACTGATTAGCTGATATATTTTTCGATTGTAGATGGTCAAGAACAAGGCATTGTTTCCTGGAAATTTAATTTAAAGAACACTAACAAAAATTTGGATACAGTAGATGTACAATTTGGACATAAAACATTTGAAAAAGGAGTAGTCAGTGTTAGAATATGTGCTGCGGATACATGTATAATGTTACCCAAGGGTAAGTTAGGCAGATATAAATAACTAATAAATGAGGAGGTGGCGTTCAAAAAAGGATTTGCACAATAAATCACATGTTGAGATTTTGATGTCATTTGAAACCTTATTTTCAAGCCCACATGTTAGTAAATAAAAGTTTGATCGAAACGATTTTAGTCGTATGGTTTTTTACATATGAAATATAGGTAGTGGAACAAAACAAGTTTTGTCCAGCATAAGTAGTTAATCAGAAAAGGTTCAGTCACAACCAGCCAATCACAGGACAGCATTCGCCCTACCCATGATGCTCTGTTATTTGAGGTTAGGAGTTTTCACCATGTTTTTGTTCAGCTTCATTGTTATCGTGTCGCAGAGCTAGCAATGTTTAATTTCATATTAATTAGGATGGGTGAAGTTATTGATGACTCTTTTGTAAGTGTAGAAGATGGAAATAGTCCTCTAGGAAGAGGACTATAAATCCACGAAACTTGGCAAAGAAGAAAAGACTAACCCAACCTTAAGGTTACAATACCTTCAACCCGTGCTCACATGCCTCTAAAAGATTTTCGTGTAAAAGCTTTACTCTCAGTGATTATTCTCATGTAAGGAAAAACTTGCTATCTGTGCCCAATAAAACTGCTCAGGACAACTTTATTTCAAGTTATGGTCCATTTAAAACATTAAAAGGAGAAGGCCACGAAATACAAGCAATGAGGCACGATCTAACCCTTGTTCTGTTGAGTATACTTTGATGAACCAAAACACAAAAATTATCAAGGTATGTAAGAATTTTTTTATGTCAGTGATGACCTACCAGATTAAGCAACATTATAAAATGTATTGGTAAGGGGAACATCGAAATGAGAATAAAGGGGGCGACCGTCAATCAGTCAAGACAGATGTCAAAAAGGCGCGTTTAAGAGATTTCATAAAAAAGTTAAGAGGTAAAGACACACATTATTCTAGAAATAAATCAAAGTGCATCTATTTGGATCAGGACGTGAACATCACAAAAGTATGGAAAAGTATAATAATTTACAAGATGAAATCTTGAAAACAGTATTAAAAACAATGTGTTACAGAGAATTGAGTGCAGTTGCGGTGATAGTGGGTGCAGTTGTCCACACCCATAGTTAAGAGTGACATAGAAATCATCGAATGAAGTTAGCTATAGACATTACTAGAGGTTAAGAAGTACGTTTTTGTTGCAATGAGTTTTACAATTAGCTTGTTTTAGTAAAAATAAAGTTATTGGTGAATTCAGTGTATCAATTTCACACAAGCGAGTTCAAACAAGCGATTTACCCCAACACAATGTTTCGAAGAATTTTTCAAACCTTTAATATTGGATTTCGCTGCCCAGCGTGTGATGTGTAGTTAGGTACTGCCATAGATAAATAATATAGTATATACAGATAGATAGGCAACTCTATATATAAATTTGGTTTATTAGCACCACTGGTGAGTGGAGTCAATACCAATCACCATTTGGCGGGAAATTCAAATGGTTAAGTATTAATTTTATCGCTTTAGCGCCTCTGGTGGGTCATTTCGGTACTAATTAAAATTTAGTGGGAAATTCAAAATATTTTATTATTTTCCAATGGAATAATCTCACATATCGTGAGTGATATGACAATACCTATCTGCTTTTTCACAAGTTTTGTAGGGAGACGAAAATCTTTATTTATAGGAACTATAACTAAACTTTAAAAACTAAGGAATCAAATAAAACTAAACTGAAAAAACTAAAGAATCAACTAACCGAACTTAAAAAACTAAGGAACCAACTTAAATTAAAATTATCAAGATTAAATTACAAACGAAAGTTAAAGATAATTAAATTAAAAATGAAAACTAAGGTATCAACTAACTAAACTTTAAAAACTAAGGAACCAACTTAAATTACTAAGACTAAATACAAACGAAAGTTAAAGATAATTAAATTAAAAATGAAAACTGTAAACAAGCCAAAGCACGTGGAAGACGAAAATGGACGAAACTCGAAAATATACAAATAGATTCCACCGAACTTCTAACTCGATGACAAATATCAATCATCAACTTGTTATTACTTTTGACGGAATTGACATGGCGGAATTAAGCTTCGTTTGATTATTTTATTTGTGACATTCAGAGATGGTGTTAAAATAAAATGATTGGTTAAAGTCTTCGTGAGCAAGATAGGCTGTCATCTCTCTTTATTAACCGACTGGAGTCAAAGTGATGGGGGAAATGTTCAAGGTTATTCATATAAGATTCCAGGCCATGGGTACTGCTAAAGGTCGGTTATTTATTTGAGAAAATGCCATATTTGAGAAAATGCGATATATGGTCAGCTAATTAAGGATTATCGTCGTGTAACATACCGGCAGATAGAGGCATCTTTGAGCATCTGTTACAAAGTTGATTTCCCGTTGGATCCCTCATTTGCTCACAGAAGAGCAAAAAGCGGTTTGCATCAATTGGTGTCGAAAAACATTGGAACGGTTCAACAAGAAAGCTCAAAAGACGTTTATAGTATTGTTAGTTGCAGTTAATCTTGCATTTACTCCTACTAATCAGAAAATATTATAAAAGCTATTGACAACATCTACCAAAACAACAAAATAGAGGTCAGAATAGGTAGACAACTTATAGACAACCTATAGAAATAGGCAGCGGAATAAGGCAGGGGCACTCCTTGAGCCCTATGCTCTTCAATTTAATCATGGATAAATTCATCAAAAGCGTTAAAAAGGAAGAGGATACAGAATGGGAAACAAAGAGGTAAAAATACTCTGTTACGCAGACGATGCAATATTGATAGCCCAAGATGAAGATAATCTGCAAAGACTGGTCCCTAGATTTAACATAAGAGCAAAAGAATTTAATATGAAAATCTCATCTCAGAAAACTAAAACAATAGTTATCAGCAAAGAACCACCTAGATGTAAAATATAAATTTATGGCAAAAATAATGGAAATGACATACCTTGGAATTATACTATTCAGCTATGGAGACCTGGAAAAATAAGTGGGAGATCAAGTACAAAAAGCAAATAGACTTTCAGGATGCCTTAATCGCTGCCCGGAAGTATAATGACACATTGTAAAATTTCGAAAAATGACTTTATTGTATTGGAGGCATCAAAACCTCTGTCATGGCGAAATTCAGTTGTAAAAAATGCAGTTTTGATCCCTCCAATACAATATGCATTTTTCAAAATTTTAAAGTTGTGTCAATATACTTCACGAACAGCGATATGGCGAAACAGACACATTAACACTGAGATACAGTCAAGAGTTTATAAAGCCAGTGTAAGACCTATAATGATTTATGCCCCAGAAATAAGACCCGGCACAGCCATAACGAAAGGCCACTGAAAACGGCAGAGATCAGCGTACTGAGAAGAATTACAGGAAATACGCCAAGAGATCGAAAGAGGGGTGAAGATATTAAAAGAAAATGTAACGCACAGTCTATAAATATAAATGAGTGGACACTAAATAGAAAAAATAATGGAATAACCACCTAAGTTGAATGGGGGAGACCCGTGGCGTCAAATTAGCAAGAGATAGGTCACCAATCAGCAGAAGTATCAGACGACCGCGCAAAAAATGGAGGGACAACATTCCATGTAGATATTAATCCGCCAATGAAAAAGCCAAATTGCTTATAAGGAGGAAAAAGAAGAATCGGAAAAATCAACGAAAAATCTGCCCTGTGGGTGTTTCACGATGAGGAAAAACCAACAGAAGTAATCCGTTCTCGAAGTGTGTCAAAGAAAATTTTGTGTCAAAATCTGGTCATGTAGCAACAATTGCTTTAGGACATCGAAGAACGGCAACTTCTGATTGATATATAACTATTTGTTTACCATAAGTTATCGCGAAAATCCGGCAAAGCAACACACAACGACGAATAATCCTTCCTCAGGATAATGTAAGTGCTCACACTGCCCAAAAGACAATAGAGATTTTAGACCTTCAAAACATTGAATAAATTCATTAAACCATCCACCCTATAGCTCCGACCTAAGTCCCAAGGACTTAACATTTCTAAAGATCGAGAATTCAATGTGGGCAGCGATTCCAGTCGCCAGAAGAAGCCATCGATGCCTGTAAACAGCGATTTTGCAGGTTTCAACGTTAATTTTTCAGGTTTCATTAGTCTCAAATCATTAAAAATTATGCCTATTTTGTAATTTTAAAGAGATCAATAAATTTTGGTTTCGGTAAGAATCAGGTTCATCGGTAAAATGTATATTTTTGTGTACTAATTGTAGTGTGATAGTATATCGTATCGTTCGTACTTCAACGAGTTGTCTTATATGCCGTCCAGAGTAGAAAGGGCTTGGAGAACGGTCCTTTTCCGAATTTGTTTTTTTTTTTTGTTTTATTGTTTGACTGACTCTACTTTTACCCGTTGAAGGCAGCTATGGACAGTTACAATTGATAATAATACGATCAGAGAACCACAGAAAACTGATAACTCTCTGTTCGTGTGCAAAGTTAATAAGTGACGTATTTATTTAAATAAAATAAAAAAAGAGGTTGTTCCTCCAGGAAATCCATGTATTGGTCAGGAAGTGTGTTGCTGGCAGAGGTTGGAGGTTTTGAAGGAATTTATTTTTAGGATATGCGACATATATATTGTCAAAACATGAGCAAGTAGTTTCTAGGATGTTTTGGACTCGAATGTGGAATGGTTTTTATGGTGCTTATGTAGTACTCTTGCTCAATCTGAGACATAAGAGTGGAGAATTTAGGTAAATGTGATGAGCATCCGATGTTATTTAAATTTTGGAGTCAATTTCAGTCAACATGGTGTCGTTAGAGTGTTTTCTGTTGTAAAGTCTACGAGTCTCTCCTTAAGAATCCTCTTTAAGCTCTTAGCAAAAACGTTTCGAAGAGAAATGGGCCTGTATGAGTTAGGATAGGTCCATGATTTGCTATTTTTATTGAGCATAATAATGTTGGCTACTTACATATAGCTTGACTAAGGCGTTGACTATTTTTGTCAGGCTGTGGGTTATGCTT